AACTAATGTAACAATATCCCTTTGTCTCACTGCAAGGACATACGACTGGTGAGATTCACCGGCTCGGAGGCACTGGTTGGGACAGTTTGACTCCTGCTGTGGTATCTGACGTAATGGCAGAAAGGTAATGGAGGCTCTCTGTGCTTGTCTGTGTATTTACATTATTGGCTTTTAGAAAGCAGAGGGCATGCTGACAGGAACATTAAACACCGCTGGAGTGGCACAAATGGATGCTAGGGAAAAAAAGCCCAGACAGCTATAGGGACAATGCATCAAATATCAAAAACAGACAAAAAAAAAAAACAAAAAGGGAAAAAATCCACAAATATTTGAGATGTCAGGCTTCTGTTCTAAACTCTCATTATAAAAATTATGTTCCTACTTAACCAGAATTGTGGGGAAAAAGCTTATTCTAAAGTTAACACTGGATACCTGGATACCAATTATATCAGGCTTGTAAAGCGAATACTGAACAACAAAATATCTGACAGAAAAACAACTGATGGAAAGAGAGAGTGAAAAAATACATCAGCAAAATGACACTTGATGGATTCATATACAGCAACGTTCAAACCTCTTAACAGCGATTACTGGACAATTTGCATTACATATGAAAACTGCCTGGGAATTTGAAAAAGTATCTGAGGGGGGGTTCTATGTATGGATCAAATACATAGGCCTACCTCTACCTACATTTTCAAAACTAAAAATAAAGTACATACACGTACCTATACCTATTTTATTCCTTTTCACACAATTTTCATTTTAGGGCATATTATCAATTAATAAAGACTCATTTTCTTGCAGTTCCTTGCACAATACTATTTTTCCTCAAAATGCATTTACCAGACTGCATGAATAATCAAATAATCAGCTCCATATGTATTCACTATGTATTCCATATGTATTCCACTCAGTGGACATTTCACTTTGAAAGTGTTGTTAAACGTGCAAGAAGCCATGTGATATTTAGCAGAAATTATTCCACATGCACATGTTTATAAAGATCCCGGGTTAGAAAATAAATCCCTGCCTTTACATTTTAGAAAACAAGTTTGAAATCCCCTGTGTGTTTGAAAACCGAAGAGCTTGTGTGGTGAGAGAGATACAGTATGGGTTAAAGCTCTGCAGTGCTGTCAGTGCATACAGCAGCAGGAAGTGCTTATGTGCAGTTGTTGAGTTAGAGTGATGACATGGCTCCTGCGCATCAGCATCAACACCAGTCTTTGGTTACTGCAGTGGACTGACACAACAAAAGCCTTTTTAAAGGGGTCCTATTATGCTCTTTTACAAAGTCTTGATTTTGTTTTGGGAGTGTACTAGAACAGGCTCTCATACTAGCTTGTTCGAAAAACACATTATTTTTCACATATTTTACATTATTACAACACCTCACTCGTTGCCTTTTCTAGTGCAGCTCAACCAGGTCTCGTCCCATTCGTTGATATTTGTGATATCACGAATCCCGGAAAATATGCATTGTGGTCCAAACGAGTCGTTCGTTGTAGTTTTTGAAAAGTGATTTCTGTTAAATAAAATATCTCCTTTTGAAGTGGACTTTGAGCTTTGCAACTTTGCAGATCTTTTTTATGCTCAAACAGCAACATTACAGACTAACTAAAGTTGAGAAAAAAGTGAAAAAGCATAATAGGACCCCTTTAATAAAGATGCACTGTTGCCATCCTTTCTCTAATGCTTTATAATTTATAATAAGAACAGTCTCTAGGGGGCAACGGAGGTGGTGTAAGAAATAATAACTACTCAATGCAAACAATTCTTGCGATATAACAACAAATATAATGGAATTGGAGGCTTGTAATATTGTTGCATTGCTCGCTTTTATGCATAATTTATAAAAAAACGGAATTTTGAAGTTTTGTTTTGGAACTCTGCTATCATTTTTAACCAACAGACAACCAACAAGGGATAAAAAAGGAAAACTTGAACCACCATCTACTGTACTGTAAAATAAAAAAACAGTTAATATTAATTTATTTTACAGTAAAATTACAATTGTTAATTTTTATGGCTGTCTTCAGTTTTTTGCTTTCAAATGTTAAACATAAAACTTTTATTTTGAGGTAGTAAAGCTTTTCGAGACCTTAAAGATTTTTTCTTTTATTGACAACAGATTTATAAACCATCGTCAGTACAAATTTGCAAAGATGGTTGAAGCGCATTGTTTTCAAATAATATAAAAAATATAAATGTCCCAAACTCACTTAGACACTCAGAGACACTAAATCAAAGGTTCATGAGCTCCTCGCAAGTAACACAATGGCGCATGCTACTCTGAAGCATGCAGAGCATCAGACTGTACACTCTTAGAAATCAAGGTGCTTCACGATGCCATAGAACAGTGTTACTCATTGCGCGGCTCGCCAAGCTTTACTTTGTGGCTCGCATGGCAGTAAATAATACGATGATATGATCATGCAGTCAATACAGATATTTCATAAAAACATTAAAAACAAGCAGGGCTATAACATAACACATTAAAAAAACTCACACCATGTCTACACCGGACGCGAGTGGCGTGATCCGACAAAAGACAATAGAACCCCGTGATGTTGTCTACACTGGATGCGGCACGATGCGACACGATCCCCATCAGTAAGTTGATGCCTCGTTCTATTTATGACGAACTGTACTGACACTACGTTCAGATGATTTGCAACTGTCGCTTTGTCGCGTCAAGTGTAGACAGACTTTTAGCGCAGCGGGGCGCGGCACGACAACTGTCGCCTCCGGTGTAGACACGGTCAAATAGTGTCTGCTCTATTACAAATAATTTATATTTTTAAAAAAATACCTAAAACAGCGGCATTACAAGATGGAAATATAGACTAGAAAAGATATTTACACTTGCTTTGTCCTACGTCCATCGGAGGTGCCAGTTTTAATCTTAACAGCTCTTAACGCCGAATGTGCTCTTGGATGGTTAGATACATGATGGGCTAGTGTAAAAAAATTAAATAACTTCAAGGGTTAGTTCACCCAAAAATTTTAATTAGCCCATAAATTACTCTCCCTCAAGTCATCCTATGTGTATATGACTTTCTTCTTTCAGACGAATCCAGTCGGAGTTATATAAAAAATTTTCTTTGATCTTTCAAGCTGTTTAATGCCACTCAGCGAGTGTTGCATGCATCAGTCCAAAAGAAGTTAAATAAAAAGCGCCCATCCATAAAAAAAGTGTCTCACACGGCTCCGGACGGATGACGTATGAGGTCGGCTTTGCGCATGCGCCGCTCAGAAGTGACGAACACGGAAGAGCAGGGGAGAGATCCAAACAAAACAACGGTCACTTATTAGAAGTACAAAATGAGGATTTGTAAAGAAGAATGTCAGAGGATTTCGATATAAGCCAAGAGGAGACTGGTTTTCCTTTGCTAAAGTAAGGAAACTTTGCTTCCTTTGCTCCTGTTAACAAACGTTGGTTTTCACGAGACTCACCGGCGCATGCGCAACGCTGACCCCATACCTCATCAGCCCAGAGCTGCTTCAGTGTACAAATGTTGGCGCAAGCTACATTAAAGTGATTATTACGTTTTGAATATGGATATTTTTCTTACAAAAACACATCGATTCACTACAGGAGGCCTTTTTGTTCACCCGGAGCCGTGTGAGACACTTTTTTTTTAATGGATGGGCGCTTTTTATTTAACTTCTTTTGGACTGATGCATGCAACACCCGCTGAGTGCCATGAAACAGCTTGAAAGATCAAAGACAATTTTTTATATATTTTTTAATAACTGGATTCGTCTGAAAGAAGAAAGTCATATACACCTAGGATGACTTGACGGTGAGTAATTTATGGGCTAATTTTCATTTTTGGGTGAACTAACCCCTTTAAGGTCTTTCCAGCATTAAGGTAATCCTGTTTTTTTTTTTAAATCATCTCGTCTCAGTTACAAATTTGACTGGTAAATGATAAAGAATGATAGCCCCTTTTATATTGCATTGCATTGCATATCAGGGATGACAGATTGATAAAAATACATACTATTTATGACTGGATGTAACTTTTGATACTTTACGGTAAAAGTGGCTCTCCAATTGACTTTGCCCTATCAGTGCGGCTCCCATGAAAAAATAGTGAAGACCACTGCCATAGAAGAACCTTTTTTGTCTAAATGGTTCCATAAAGAACCTTTAACATCTGAAGAACCTTTCTGTTTCACAAAAGGTTCTTTGTGGCAAAAGAAGGTTCTTCAGATTATAAAAAGGTAAGAATGAGATGGTTCTTTGTGGAACCAAAATGGTTCTTCTATGGCATCACTGTGAAGAACCTTTTAAGCACCTTTATTTTTAAGCGTGTATTCTTGTATATTTAAAACACAGCCCTTGCGATTTGATAATTTGGCCAAATGGTGAGTAATACTACTTCATATACTAGCCAACAACCAATTTTTACTTGCATTTGGCACTTGGCGAGTGTTAAATTTTAAACTGGCTGACATGGTAAGGGTGTCCTGCACACAGCTGCTGTCAGAAACAATCCATTCATTTAAAACAAATATTTTTTTCAATTTGTTTAGTAATTGTTTAAGGACATATTGCGAGTTATATGTGTCATACTTCCCAGGTTGGAAAACGCTTAAATCTGTATGAATACAGAAAAAATACTCAGATCTGATCAACGTATGTTTTTAGACAATCTGCAGATGTGCAATCTGCACAGAAAATGACCATAAATCAGATGATACCATTGATTAGGCAATACATTACTAGTTAAATCCTGGCAAGGGCGATCTGTGAACTATCACTATTAATCTCACACTTAATCTAAATTTGCTCCAGGGGTTCTGGGATTTTCCACTGTAATAAATGTACTTGGATAAAAGCATCAGTTAAATGACTAATTAGATAGATAACAGGAAGTTTCTGGAGATTGAGGTTCAACTACCCTCCAAACAGAGATCTGTGTCATAACCGAATGGAAAACAGTGTTCTGGCTTCTTTTGCTACTTCTGTTGTGTGCATGTGGGTGGCTCACCTGACTGTGGGTGGCAGTAGCTGCTATGATTATTGCATTGGCATGGTTGGCACCCCGTGCTGCTGAAGTGCAAGAAGCCTGGGCGGCAGTCATCACACTTGTCCCCATGCACTCCACTCTTGCAGATGCACATGCCTGAACTGCCAGAAAAATACAGAGGAACAGTTATGGAGTTAGAGAGAGTTATAGAGGCACAGAAAGAAAGACTTATTGTTCCTACAGAAGCGTACAGTATCCTTCAAAAGCCAGACACAGAGAGGTTACAACCTCTGTCCACATCAAACACCAGGTTTCCTCTGAACTGCCAGAATAGCTGCCCCTTCCCATTCATCACACGTTAATAGAGCCACTCCATTAAAGCTGAAGCAACATCTGTTATAAATAATACTGCAAACTAGAGGCGTTAAAACATTGGGATGCATTGATCTTTTGATGGAAATCCAAATTCATCAATTATAGTAACACTCAGGCATAAATAATACGAAATGACTAAGATTTACAAACAACAAATACCTAAATGTATTTGATTTGCATTGGATTTAGCAGCAGGTAGGATACACCAGACCCTTTCCTGTCCTGGGTTACATGAAAAATTATTACACATAGGTAAATTAGTCATTAGTGCCTGTGCTTGTAGAAAGAGAAACAGAGCAGGGTAAATATGCTCTACATGAGAAATTAAAGTGTAACAATATCAGAGCATTTAAAATGAAAAGGAACAGAAACTCCCAGAGATGAGAAAATTTATGATTATACTGTTACACACTTCAGGCTTTTGAAGCGCAAATGAGAAATGCAGAAGGATGATTTCTTCTGGGAAAGGCTTGTGAAACCTATGAAAAAATATCTGCAATTATTTCTTCCAAGCACACACACTCACACTCAATTCACTCTCAGTGAATTTACTCTCCACATGTACAATCAGAAGTTCTCTGTCTTCGCCTATACAGTTATTCTGACTGATGCTGAGCTCACAGGTCCTGAGAAAAATAACCCTGACATGTCAGTTCTGTTGAACTCAACCTCTTAAATCATATCAGTATTCCTACTGGTTTCACTAGGATACATAATTCAGAGCAAAAGCCACTACACTAAAATTAATATTAAAAAGCACATAACAACTGCAACTAGACCTAAGACCATGTGTTTTCCAAAATATTGTCAGGGCTCAACATTAAAGGATTTTTGCAAACATTTTCACTTACCCCACCATATAAATAGGAAGTATGCAAGTAAACAAGCGAACAAGTAAATAAATACATGCATAAATAAATACATAAAAAAAAAAAAAAACATTACTTCTGGCCAACAGTCATACACGCATTCATGAATTGAAAAATTGATTACCATTTTTTATTACATGGTTTTTGAAGCATCAACTTTAAGTGTCCCATCAACTTCTGGGGACAGCATGAGGGTGAGTAAGTGATGAGCAAATTTTCTTTTTTTTGGATGCACTACACACACTCCCACAAAATCGTGCCTCGTCACTCCATGTATGCATTGTTTGCTGATAGTTTAAACAAATTGACACATGCACAGCCATTCATTAAAACACACTTTAAGAATGAAAACTAGGGCTGTAGCTATCGATTATTTTAGTAATCGAGTATTCTACAGATTATTCCATCGATTAATTGGATAAGAAGTAATTTTTCTTTATTAAAGAGCAATACTAAATATACAAGAGATAATAAGATAGATCTATTTTTCTTTTTAGAAAAATTAATTTTTATTGCTGAAATTGCATACATTAATAACCGTGAAAACTAAACCCATTTAATGTATTTAATTGCCAAATTACATTCAAAATGCAAATACAAATATATCAATAAAAAAATAAAATAAATAAATAAATAAAAATACAAAAATCAATTTCACATTACTTTACGAAACGCCGTCATGTTGCACAGACTCAAAACAGTGTTGTGGCTGTGTTTGGAATTTTTTTGTTGGCAAAATAAAGCAAAAACAGGCAATATAGTGTCTAAAACGTAAGTCTCATAATATTACCTTCTTGTTTATTGAACTGTTGAATAAAATCACATTTGTAATCATGCTGATTTTAGAGGTGAAAACTGGCACTCTTCGTGTGATATTGACTAATTTTCTTTCTGTGGTATTTTTATGCTCAATGGCGTTTAGTCTTTCACAAAACATAGCTAACGTAGGGACATAACTAGCCAGTCAAATACACAAAATAATGATCTTTAAAATAGCATCATATGACCCCTTTAAATATGTCCAGCGCTTTTTTAAAGTCTGTTCCCTGTTTTTATACAGTCTGGTCTGGTCCAGCGTTTATCGGGTTGTGCGTCAGTAATAATGGTCCGTGGGTAAACTTTGCGCAGCGCAGAGTAACACGTCGTGTGTGTGTGTGTGTGAGAAACTGAGAAACTGCCTGTCAGAAATGAGGCAAATAGATTTTTTGTATTCGAGTTACTCAAGGTATTCGAGGAATCGTTTCAGCCCTAATGAAAACCCTTGAGCCACACCTTAAGACACAAAAAGATTCAGAAAAACTACATTAAATGGTCAAAAGTCTTTATGTGTTTTTTTTATTATTGGATGAAATCTGTTAAAGTGCAATGTGCAAAAAGAGAAAAAGAGAGTGAGTGGGAGAGAGAGAGTATAAGCAAGCATCATACAGAGCAGATCCTGTGTGCTGAGGAAGACCTTTCATTCTGCCTCTTTGAGCTGTAAGCTGACACCATGATCCTTCACAGCCTCCAAGATCCTCCAAGTCAATAGAGTTTACACGTCACGTTTTGGTAACGGTACGATTCACTTGGAACCCCAACCGAGGTGGTACAAAAAAAGTACCAGGTACCAGGTACTGTACCCAGTGGAAAAACCCCAAAAAGTGAACCGTACCGAGCCGTACCGTGCCGTACCATGCAGTGGAAAAGCGCCATTTGATGTTCGGCCTCACAGTCATGTCTAGAGAGAACTGAGCCATGACTGTAACCCATCTAATGTCTATGAAGAAAGAGACTCATTTGAGCAGCACGCTTATGTCATGGGCTGGATAATGTCCTGTGAATTTCAATGAATTTCAATGTCTTCCCAAATATTACAATTTAATTTTGAAAGAAGCCATTTGAATAAAATGGAAAAAATCAGATATTATAATTAGAGCTGCAGTGTGTAATTTTTAAAAATGTTTTAAACTCATATGCAAGCTTAATTTGCAGAATCAACAATAAGTAAATAAGTCAAGCAATGTCTACTTTTTTATCAGTAAATGACTATCTGCTCTGCTTGCCTAAACAATGGAAGATGGAGAGGATATTTCGGAAACCCTCTTGGAAACAGTCATTATTTCTGCGAAGTATTCATGCACACTGCAGTTTTAAGCCTCAAAAGTAACACAAATGAGATGTTCCTACTGGAACAAAAGGAAACATTAAAAATGTAGAATCACACAACTTAGAACTGCACCGGTCGCAAACTCAAGCTCTTAAAAACTGGTGAGAATACACTAGCTGACTTTGCCCTGAGGGTGTAAGAACGTTGAGGTTTCCATGGCAACAACACCTCAGATCACCAGAAAGTACCCCGCTGTGATTAAACTGAAAGTCTATTACAGTATAATCACCAGGGCAACAATTCCACACAAAAGACAAGCATTAAATATGCTGTGGAAGCAAATTTAAAACCTTTCTTAAATCATGCAGCCTTTGCACTTGTCAAGATTAATTAATGAATCGCTTTAGCAAATTGTGGAAAAGCTGATGGCACAGCACAGCTCATACCCACTCATTATGGGGAAAATAGCCAGAATATATTAACTATTAAAAAGCAGCAGTGCAATTATTTGTGAATGCTGATATGCTCACACTGTTATTGTGCATCATTATACTCATGTTGGGTATTAAGGGATGTGCTGTTTTAATTAAATCCATTTGTGCAATACCAGTTAGTTTGTAGCTGACATTCATGCACACTATCCAGGGAAAACTGGTGGTCACTGCTTTAGTACTTGGCTACTTCCTTCCAGACTATTTAAGGGCAGTGCGGTTTGAGGCCTGGGTGGTTTGGAACCTCTAACGTATAACCCAGTTTTATTGAGGTAGTGGGTTATGCTGATCTCTGAATTATATGGTCAGACCCAAAGGTTTTCAGAGCAGTCAAACAACCTTCTGAAAGCTCTTGGTGTCCTATGGTTCAGTGGTGCTAAAGCAGACTGTCATGTTCAGTTGAAGAACACATAGTCCATCCTTGTCAGGCATGCCATAAGAAAAGCTTTTTAGCTTCATTGAGTGTGTTTTCAAGATAGATGTTTAGCATTTTCATAAATGCTGTTCTTTTGATCTTTATATTGATCAAAGAATCCTGAAATAAACGCATCACAGTTTTCACAAACACATTAAGCACAATAACCCTACCATAACCGTTTATAATCAATACAAAATTAATAAATCAAATAAAAAAGGATATAAAAACAGAAAAAGTGCAAATTCACCACCACCACAAAACTCCAAATAGCAGCACTTGCTGCAGATGTCATGAATTTGAGTCTTTCTGTCTTACTCTCACTGTTATTTCAGGGTTTATTCACGCTGAGTGAAATAGGCACACTTCCCCTGGGTCATTAGAGGCAGGCCATAAATGAGCTGGTGTAATATTTGGGTATCTCCTGATCTACTTTCACTCGAATACTGCCAGAGAAATACTATAAAAGCATCAGTCAGCTCTCTTTTAATATTTCAGATAGGAACTACTACTATCGATTTAAAAAGGTTTAAATTGCAGACTGTTAATTGATTCTGTTATTGACTGTGGTGATGTTCCAGATAATATTGGATAACACCAAAAATACTTTGAGTTCCTGGAAATAATAATGGCGAGTTCACACTGCATGATTTTCAAAGTCTTCGGATCATCGTTGTTTTCACACTGCACGACTATCTGGGGTAGCATTCAGTTGCTGCTGCGTTCACATTGCAGTGATTGCATGATGGATCTGCGACAGGAGGTTACACACTGCATGACTTTACAATAACAAGAATCGCCAACAACTCTGTCTGGTCCGCAAACTACAGCCAAATGCACACGAGTAGTGATAAGGAAATAATGCAAGATCACGCTGATTAGTGTTGCCAACTCTCCCAGGAAAAATAAGCAAACGCAGCTTCAA